TTCAATTTAAAATTCTTCTCTGAAATTCAATTATTTTCAAAAGTAATAAAATTCAATTATTTTCAAAAATGTTTTTTAAATTTTTGTCAAAATTTCAATTATGTTTATAAATATAAAAATTCTTCTGCAAAATTCAATTACTTTTAAACATTTTTAGAAAAAATCTGTTCAAAGAAAATGTAACAATTATATAAGAAATACTTGAATTATGAGAATAAAACTTTTAAATTTTCCCGCCATTCATGTTTACCAACCAATAAAATTACTTCGACGCCTCCCGTTCATATAATGCTTATTGAAAAACAAATGCAAGATCATTCTTATTCAGTTTTTAGTGCAAGACAATTCTTATTCGATTTTCCGTGCAATAAAATGCTTATTCAAAATTCTATGCTAAAAAGTACAATCTGAAATTAGCTTACACTATGAGTTTTATAAAATTTTCAATTGAATATAATTTTTAATTACAATTGCTTAAACAATATTTCTTAATACGTAAGAGATAATCAAGTATTAAATTTTCTAATAACAATAGATACGCACTGAAATTCTCAGATATTTAATTGCAATTTAATATTAAAAAGATGATTTAGGGTTATATTTATTGTTCTGTCAGTGGCAATTGTTTTGCACACAATTTTGAATAAGCATTTTATTGCACGGAAAATCGAAAAGGAATTGTCTTGCACTAAAAACTGAATAAGAATGATCTTGCATTTGTTTTTCAATAAGCATATTAAAATGTAGCTCCATTGAAGTTAACAAATAGTGTATTTTTCAATAGAGTGCCGACTTTCAGTTAGTCGAGCTCCTCCGAGCCGCATAATATTTGGAAAAACAAGTTATAGAACGATTACTTAGCATGTCTACTTTGACGCCAATATGTGCCATTTTGCGCCTTTTCATATTTTTTCAACATAACAAGAATATTGCAATAAACATACAAATATATTGTGGGAAATTTGGTATCAATTCTACCAAATTGAGGTTGGTTCCCAAATTAACCAACCCAGTAAAAAAAGAAGTATTGAGTGGAGCGTTTAGGAATTGAGTGAAGCTCTGAGCCAATATGGATTCGAGTAAAAACCGTATTGGGACGTTTGACTCAATCTTTTTTTCATCCGCCGAATACTGTCTTATTTTAGCATTAAAATTAAAATCACATGACCAGAGTACACATTATAAATTGAAAGTACAATTGTCCTGGAATGTAAAAATGCCGACTTCGATAAGAAACAGTGAATATTTGTTAAAAATTGGTAAAAGCAAAGTTTGACAAGCGCGACTGAATTTACCATGTGAATAAATGAATTGGTAAGTTTAAACGGACGAAAAGAAATCTACTGTTACCGACAGAAAGTTCCAAGATAATTGTTAAACAATGAAATTTCATTGTTTTGTTGAATTTACCACAATTCTCTAGGAACTTTCTGTCGGTAACAGTAGATTTCTTTCAGTCCATTTCGTCCATTTAAACTTACCACTTCATTTATTCACATGGTAGATTCAGTCGCACTTATGAAACTTTGCTTTTACCAATTTTTAACAAATATTCACTGCTTCTTATCGAAATCGGCATTTTTACATTCCAGGACAATTGTGCTTTCAATTTATAATGTGTACTCTGGTCTTGTGATTTTAATTTTAATGCTAAAATAAGACCGTATTCGGCGGATGAAAAAAAGAATGAGCCAGACGTCCCAATACGGTATTTACTCGAATCCGTATTGGCTCAGAGCTTCACTCAATTCCTAAACGCTCCACTCAATACTTCTTTTTTTACTGGGAAATATATAATAACTCTGTCAATTCAGATGAATATTTAAGCACACTTTACTTTTTAGCTGAGAAATTATATAAAACGTCTTGATTGTCAAGAATCTCAGACTCAACTAAACTAACGACTCGCATACTCATTCACATTACTTATCAAACGAAAGTGGGGAAAACGTAAAGGCGAGTTCTCATCAAAGAAATGACAAACTTTAAGCGAACCGCCACACATTCCTCTCCTAGTGATAACGATAAACAAAAAGAAACAAAAAATCTAAATAATAGATTTTATATAATAACAATAAAAATTCATTTTGAGAAAAAAAAGGAAAAACTATCATACGTTTCAACTCACATACATCACACTAGAAATTTGTCATTAAGATTATTATATAATACTTTTCAGTCTTAAAGAAAATAAAAAAAAATTAATTCTTGAAAGTTACTCTTTTTTTTAAAATGTTAGGAATAAATTTCTTTGGCTTTGATTTAACTTTTAACGATGACTCCTTGATAGGTGTTTCGAAATTTACAGCAACCCCCGATCGATCGTTCAAGTGAACCGGACCCTCAAGCCTCGGCGGAATGATAGATTTAAAAGGATTGACATTATCGAAAGATTTAAGAGAAGAAGGCATATCTTTTTTCTTTAAATTAATATTTATAGGTATAGTTGACGGTAATTCTGATTCAAGAATTTCTGAAGAATCAAGTGCGGTAAATGCTGGCTTAAGATTTTCAACAGAGACTTGTTTTAAATTCCATCAACGTCTATCTCGAAAACACGATCCGAAGTGCGATTAAGGGTGGAGTCCCATGACAGCGTTTTGCGTTTCTTCGTAATGGGAGAAAAAAAGACTCAAATATACGTTTGCTGCATTCTCTCTCCAGTGTATGGGCACTGAAGCGGTTTTTTAATAATTTTAACAATTCTCAAAAATACGTGAGAGCAAGTTGTTATGTCCTTGTGGACAAATATTTTGCGTTTGTGGTGGTGAGAAACAGAAACCGGTTTAATCTCGCGCATATGGTCTCTAAATTCGACAAAAAATGCATTAGGTTCAGGGGGAGAATCGGCCGGCAAGAAAAATTCACCTGGAATGCGCAAAGCCCTTCCAAAAACAAATTCCGCAGGAGATGCCCCACAATCCATCACTGATGTTCGAAGACCGAGAAGGACGGTAGGCAAGACCTTAACCCAACTCGAAGAGGATCGACACATTATGGCCGCTTTGAGAGTCCTATGCCAACGCTCCACCATGCCGTTGGATGCGGGATGGTAAGCGGAGGAACGGATTCGGCAGCAACCAGAAATCTGAAGAAGAGCAGAGAACAACCTGGATTCGAATTGGGTGCCCTGATCGGTCGTCACCGTCTGGGGCGATTCAAATCTCGAAATCCAGGTGTCCGTGAATGCACGGGCGATAGTGCCAGCCTCCATATTTTTAATTAGTATGGCCTCAGGCCAACGAGAAAAACGGTCAATGACTGTTAGCCAATAACGAAATTCCTGATCAATTGGAAGCGGTCCAACAATGTCCATGTGGACGTGTTCGAAACGTGTCTCAGGGGCAGCGAAATGAGCAGGTAAAAGGACATTGTGCCTGGAAACCTTCGATTTTTGGCAATCAATGCAACTCTTGCAAAATTGAGTGATTTGCTTATGCATTTCAGGCCAAACATACATTTTTGAGATTGTTCTGTTCAGAACACGAGCACTAGGATGTGACAACGAATGAAAAGATCTAACCAACCTCTCACGAAGAGGTGCCGGAATAAAAGGCCTCAAATCGTCACCAGAAACGTAACAATACAATCCAACATTATCAGGACCAAAAACGAATCTTTTCAATCGAATAGACCACTCGCCAGCGGTGAGTGCCTTTTGAAGATCCTGATCTTGTGCCTGAGCCTCGGCAAGTTCCAGGAGCTTGATTTCAGGAGAAAGAACAACCGTCTCGACCCTGGAAAGCGCATCTGCAACAACATTATCCGAACCACGACAATGCTCGATAACAACGGAAAACTGAGAGATATAAGACAACTGACGCTGCTGACGAGGTGATGCTTTTGCAGAAGTTTGCTTGAACGCGAAAATGAGAGGCTTATGATCGGTAACGATTCGAAACTCGCGTCCCTCTAAGAAGTGACGAAAATACTTGATCGATTTGAAGATCGCAGTCAATTCGCGATCATATGTGCTATAATTCTTCTGAGAGGGAGACAATTTTCTCGAAAAGAAGGCTAAAGGTCTCCATGAGTTAGAGATAAATTGCTCCAGGGCAGCGCCCATTTCGAAGTCAGAAGCATAAGCAATCAAACGGGTCTCAGCATTAGGTATTAAGAGGTAAAAGGATGTGAGCTGCATGTTGAATGCTGCGCCTATAGAAATTAATAAGGCCCAAAAATCTACGTAAATCGGAAACAGTTTTAGGTTTAGAATAAGTAACGACAGCTTGAACCTTGTCAGAAGCAGATCTAAAACCCTGAGCGTTAACAACTTGACCAAGAAATTCCAGCTCGCTCTGTCCGAATAGACATTTACCAACATTAATGCGCAAACCATAATGCTTTAGTCGACGAAAAACTTCATTGAGATGATTCTCATGCTCAACGGGGTTGGTTAAAGCAATAAGAATTGAGCCTTCACAGCTTTAAGCTTTTCAGGCGAAAGGCGCCGGGCTCGTTCAGCAAGGGGGGGACCGTGTGTCAAAATATGGTGATAAACATCTCGAGTAGAATTGGTAACGCCCTGCGACAATCCGGTAACCTCTGGATACCCTGATAAAATTTCCGCATAAGGAGCTTGATGATCAATTGTACTTATAGAGGAAGAAGATACCTTACGGACTTCAAAACTAACATCCAAATCAGTAATAGAGCCTATCAATTTCCGCTGACCAAGATCGACAACAAGATTGTGACGAGCCAACAAATCCGCCCCGATGATTGGATGAGGAACAGCAGCCACGCAGAAATTCCAATCGATTTCCCGCCTGAGTCCAAGATCCAGCTTCATACGTCTGTCACCAAATGTCGGTATTTTAGAGTTGTTTGCCGCAAAAAGAAAAACATCTGAAGGACTAAGTTTGGTATTTTTTAAATAGGGAGAAGAGAAATATCAGCCCCAGTGTCGATCAGGAAAAGTAACCCGGAATTTCGGTCGCGAATGTGGAGACGTTTGGAAGATGCGCCGAAATCAACAGTCTCGAGATGAAGAGACGTGACTAGTTTTCCGAAGACTTGCCAACACTCGACTTTCCCGAAAAAGAACATGGTTCCTTACATTTAGTCGCCTTATTTCCAAATTTATGATGGTACCAACAATTTGACCCAGCATTACGAGATGATAAACGAGATCTATTGTTGTTTCGAGCTCCATGTGATTCAGACCGAAAACGATGACCGGTTGATTGGAAAGACTTGCTGCTAAGTGCGTCAACCCGAGCACATAAATCGCTAATCTGATTCTGAATAATCGAGAGAGGCTCAGAAAATGAACTAGGTCGAGAAATAGGCACTGCATCGACAACGGAACAAGAAGGAGAAATGTAAGTGGTCTCGTAAACCTTATCTGCCAAATCTGCCAATTCCTGAATGGTAGAAACTTTTGACGCGGCCAGAATAGCGCGAGTTGAAGGAGGTAATTGGTTTAAGAAAACGGACCTAACAACCTCATCACTGCAATTAATATCACCTAAATTCCGCAATCGGTTTAAAATAAGGGATGGTTTTCCATCAGTGGGGATATCTCCCTTAAGAAATTGACGAAGTCGAGACTCGACCGAAATTGAATAAGTGAAAATGATTCTTGTTTTCAGTTGAGTAAAAATATCATCAGGAACCGGGCGAATTGTTAAAATATCGCGAGCACAAATCAAAACCTCCGTATCAAGTTCAGCAATGATGTGATTAGCCATGGTTGACTAAGTAGTGATGCGATAATTTTCAAAGGCTGATGAAATCTGCAAAAACCAGAATTCAGGGTCATTGGAAATAAATCGAGGCAGTTTAGGATTGCGGTAAGCATCAACCCAAGGTTCATATTTCGGTAAGCGACGCTGCATACGTCACCAACTTACAGGACAAAATGATACACAAAGTCGCTTATGTATCTTCTTACTCGGTAAAGGAGCCTGAGAGTGAGCTGACTTTACAGACTAAAAGAAGCGACTTTCTTTTGACTGTCTTTATGTATCTTTTTCCTCTGTAAAATGGTCTGACAGTGAGTCGAGTTTACAGAAGAAGAAAAGCGATAATTTTACTACACAGGCTTGGTTCTTTTATATTAAGTCGCTTATGTATCTTTTTCCTCTGGACGACACCGCTCAGCTCGAGTAAGTTTACCGAGAAATAGAACATAAGCGACTTTGTGCTTTTATTCGTCTGTATTTATTTCTACTAGAAACCCGTATGTCCATTTTACAATAGAAATTGTTTAAAAAATTAATTTTTTTTACATAATGAGAAACAGAATATTTTTTTATTAAATATTGATCAAAAATTTTTTTAAAAAAGTTAATTTGACTTATAGTTCCGGAGGCAAAAAGTTTTTTTTGATTTTCTCGGATTGATGGTAATGTCGCTTGTGTATCTTTTTCTTTTGGACGGCAGTAGAATGGTAAAGTAGTCGAATGTTCAAAACGTCGAATGATAAAACCGTCGAATGCTCAGAACATCGAACTGTCAATTCGTCAAATGATAAAAACGTCGAATGCTAAAAACATCGAATCGTCAAAAGTTCGAAAAAATGTCAACTTAAAACAAAGAACTTTTTCGAACTTTTGACGATTCGATGTTTTTAGCATTCGACGTTTTTATCATTCGACTTTTTGAACATTCGACGTATTGACAATTCGATTTTTTAAGCATTCGACAAATTAATAATTCGACGTTTTGAACATTTGACATGTTGACGATTCGATGTTTTTAACATTCGATGAATTGATAATTCGACGTTTTGAACATTCGACGTATTGACAATTCGATGTTTTTAACATTCGACGTATTGATAATTCGACGTTTTGAACATTCGTCGTATTGACGATTCGATGTTTTTAACATTCGACGAATTGATAATTCGACGTTTTGAACATTCGACGTATTGACAATTCGATGTTTTTAGCATTCGACTAAATGCCGATTCGATGTTTTTAGCATTCGACGTTTTGTCCATTCGATTACTTGGCATTCGACGACTTGGCGATTAGGGGATATGCATGCGTCTCACATTTTGGTCGCTTGCGCACTCTATGCTAATAACTCTATGGTTTTTTGGGTCGCTGATTACGAATCTGATGTCAGATTTCAAGAAATCAAAATGGCGGTCATAAAAAATTTTAAATTAATCAATTTCAATGAGACATAGGTATGTAGAGGTTTTTCAGGTTGCTGATTACGAATCTGTTGTCAGATTTTAAAAATGTAAAAATGAGCACTTGGTTTCTGAAATCAGATTTAGATATGAAATGGTTTTGTTATCTGATCCATGGAAATAAAAGCAGATTCTCCAATAGGACTACATGCGGACCTGATATACCCACGCGATAAACTATATACCTATAAGTAAACATCAGGTCTAAAAAAACCAAACAAATTTTAAAAATCTAAAAAAATACAAAATGGGATCTTTACCTGTAGGTAACCTCTTCGTGGTAGAATCTGGAAACTACAGTACTTTTTATTTTTGTAGGCTAATAACAGGAAAAAATTTTTTATTTTCTGAATTGTATAGACACTAGTTTTGTAATCACCAAACTTAAAAACTCCCAAGCAAAAAATTGTAGCCGAATCTCACCCAATCTAAAATCCACTTGAATTCTTACATTAGATTCGAAATCAGCGACCTAAAAAAACCCCTAGATACAAAGTTTCATAAAAATCGATTAATTTTAAAAATTGTATGTCCGCTAGTTCTCTTTTAAATAATGATTTTTGGCTAAAAATCGACGATCCTGGCCCACTGTGCATTCTATAAAATTATTGAAAACTGATATAAAAATTGTAATTAAGTGTCATGTCTGGACGAGGTGCCATGCGGGGTTGTAGGCGCATCGATGGTGAGTCCCAGTAATCTCAAATTGTCATTTTCTCGCCAGATAGGCAATAATTAATAATATTCGAAAACTGTGAAAAGTGATGCTTGTCACCGCCCTTGTCATTTTAAAGTAAAATTTATTGAATAAAAATAATTTTGTGTAAAATCTAAATTCAGTGACAGTATAATTATTGTGTTGATCTCCTTACTCCTCCCCTCTCCGCAGTTTATTAGGGATATTCCTAATAATTTCTGAACTAGTCTAACAAAATAATTAAAATTAACTAAATTAATCTTTTGGATATTTTCAAGTAAATCTAAAATTTCTCTAAAAATTCAAGTAAATATCCTGGCGCTAATAAAATAATTTATCTAAATTTATTCAAATAATTAAATTCAAAGTGTAGATAACGTTCTATTCTAACCTCTTGTCAAAATATTATTTTGTTTTGGTTAAATAAACTTAGAAACTGGAGTAAAATCTCAAAATGAATATCCTACATTTTTAAAAGTCATTAAATAATTATTAAAATAATAATTAAAAAATAAGCATGAACGTTATATTATTAAGAAAACTTTGTGCTACTAATTGCGCTACTCGAAAATGGTTGCATCTATAGTCGGACACTATGATTTTTTTAAATAATGAATAAAATATTTTTTGTTGTAATATAATGTAAAATAGCACTATTTTAATAAAATATAAACTTCACACATTCGTCCAGTATTTTTTGTAAAGTAATTATCATAATGCATTATTATTTATTTGACAAAAAACACGAAAATGTCCGACTACTGGTACGGTCCGACTATATCTGTACTTACCCTACTTCCTTTTAGGATTAGAAATTTTTTAAAAAGTTTAGTTTTTATAATTGTTTATAAACAATTTATTTTTTTTAATATTCTTCGCCTTTTAAAAATTTGAAAAAAATCTCAATGTCCTTGTCCCACACAGAAAAAAAAGAACAAAAAAAAAAAAAAAAAAAAAGAAAAGAAGTGCGGGAACTGAGAGTACTGAGACGTCCCGCCAGGCGCTGCCTTTTTGAAAAGAGTAAACAGTTGGGCGAACAGCGGTCCCGTGTTCGGGAACTGAGACGTCCCGCACGAGACGTCAGACTTCCCGAATCAAGGGTTTGCTGTAGTACCATATAAAGTACTGCTGAGTTCCAGCTACGGGCGTCTCAAGCCCCGCACTTCTCTCAGTGCATGAGCCCATATTTCAGTTTTTCCTAAATTTTGTGGAACAACGTGAATTAATTTGAAAATAAATACGATACTCGTGTTCAGTAGGTAATTTCACTCCGGAAAACACTTACGTAAATAAATATTCGGAAGCACTAATATAGAAAACAATATGATAAGCATTACGTTGACATTTTAGCAAAACAGACATTTTACAAAAGTAAACTCCTAACTTCGCAAACGGTGTCACATTAACTTCCAATTTTTACTATCATAGTCTCAATTGAGTGCCCTCTTATAATTATAAGGAAGTCATCTGCATAACTTTGCGTATCCACAATAAAAGAAAGAGCACTCCTCCTTGTGGGCACCCTTTTAAGATAAGGCCTGTTTCCCTAGCTTCACCAAACTCTGCTTCAAGGGCCCTTTCGCAAATAACTTTGCTAGAGGTGTATGGCCGTATCGCCACCACTGCTAATTTGTTCCTCTATTCTACCTACTGCAGAATGGAGGGCTGTTTCTACTGAGAAACCTGCTCTATAAGCATGTTGTCCCTGATGTAGAGGATAATCCCTAAGACATTCCTCTCTGATAAAATTATCCACCAGTTTCTCTAACGCCTTTAATATAAAAGAAGTTAGTAGACTGATTGGTCTGAAGTCTTTTGCAGCAGTATACTCTGAACGACCGGCCTTCGGAATAAACACAACTCTCGTCTTTTTCCAAGACTCCGGTGTGTAACCAAGAGCTATACACCTCGCCCCAAAAAGTGTTTTCCCGCGTGTCGTCTCACTCCTAAATAATTAGAGATATTTAGTTCCGATTTATCATGATAATTAGAGGAATTTATGATGATAAAGAATATTTTCGAAATTTGCAAGTAATTTTGAAAATAAATATTAAAAACGAAATTACAAAAGTTGGATTTTTGGCGAAAGTGAGAAACAATATGGCGGCGAGCACACAGACAAGTGGATCTATGTGTCAGTGGTCAAGGAAGTGGCGCCAATTCTCAGAAGTGGTCGCGACTTGAACTAAGGAAATGTATTAACCTTAAATTTCTCCACTTTCAATCGTTAATAAAATAATTTCCTCGCAAAATTATTACAAAAACGGAGAGGGCCGCTCCTCGGAGAGTCTTCCTCTATCACCCCTCCAAATATGAACCCGAAATATTGTATCCTCTTAAAATAAGACGTCTATATCAAACCGTTCATAACCCCTTTTTTCATATATTTAAACAATTTTTTTCAATAATTATTTATCAAAATTTTTCTAAATTTCGAGAGCAGCGCGGGTCCTAGAGCATTTTTCTATATTTTCAAAAAAATCCCGACTCAAAATATTCTTTTCTTTCTAAATGAGACGTCTATCACGAAACCATTATGTTTTCCCGGATGCCCTTAAATCATCTTAAATTTTATTTTATTAAAAAAGGATTTTATAACTGGGCCAATCCATTTTGTAATATTGTAATATTCTACAGAAATGATTTTAATGTTACTAAAGTCACAAAATGAAAAGATTTTTTCAAAAAAATGTTATATCTTTATATTTTTTTTCAGTATAAAATAATTATAAGGCATACAATTTAGTACAAAAATATAACAAAAATTATTAGCATATATTAAGAATTCCTGAATTTATCATTATAAATTGATATAAGCATTTAAAAATATAAAATAATACATAAAATAT